GTAAAGCGGGTATCGTGCAGCAGCTGCGGCTTCCGACTTTGACATGCCATGCCCGCAATTCTTTGTCTGCCAGGATCCGGAGTACTCAGATTGGTCTGGGTGGACCACCGTGGAGGCGATTTTCGCTGGCTGGCTGGTGATTGAAATCGTGCTGCGATCATGGCTCGTGGGGTGCTTTGCCTACCTGTATGGGGAGGCTCCCTGCTGCAACAAATTTCAGTACCTCTAGGTTTCGTTTCCGTGCAGAGGAGTTGTCGTCCCGCGACAGGAGCGCTTGTGGAACTCTTTTGATATTTGCGTCGCTATCATAGCTGGCCTGGACGTATTCGTTTATCGCATTGGTCTCAATGCACCTTGGCTTGAAGCAAGCTCCTTTACACTCTGAATGGAAAATGTGGCCAGCTGCATGTCTCGATTCCCTTACGGAATAGGGACAACCGCCAGGGCCTGGACGTGCAGGTTTTTGAGTTGCGGGGGCGCAATCTATGCATTGTCCATCAATTTTCAAGGCCACCGGGTTGAGTCGCGGGTCTCAAGAGGTTTCACCTGCGAATCGATTCAACTTCAGGGGCGAGTTGGAGTCCACATCCCGACTGAACAGCAACGTTGCGTGGAATCTAAGGAGGCTACAGGTCTGTATAGCACCTGGCTCATCCGCATTTTCCGACTGATACGCTTGGTTCGTGTGACGGGCCGGCAATGAGCGGGAGAACCTCGTTGACGGGTTAGCTTCGGGCGACTCCCTATCGACCACAGTTGTCTGCTTAGGGGTCCCGTTCTTTTCTTCAAGCCAGGATCCTATATAATGCACATTGAGGAGCTATGCCGGGGTCGGGTCCCTTGTTTCTGAAATGGCCTCTCGGATTCGGCACCTGCTTGGATGGGTCCACAGTTGCAGCGCTAGCAGTGCTACCTCACTGGTCAAACATGGAGGAACCGGCTTGTACACTGACTATCATATACCATAACAAACTGTAATGTACTATCATATACTATAACGTACTGTAATGTATATGGTACTTCATGTCTTCGTGCCATAAAGCAGATCCTCCATTGCTCAGGTCATGAGAGTCTTCCGCTTGCGGTTGATGCGGGACAGCTTGGCGGCATCATTTAGGCCTTTTTTTTGGGTGGCATATCTGCGAAAGGAAAGTCCAGCTTTCGGCTACCCTGAACCGAAACCCTAAACCCTAAACCCTAAACCCTAAACCCTAAACCCTAAACCCTAAACCCTAAACCCCCAGAGCCAGGATCTCCGTCTGATGGTGAAGGGCTTGCTGGCGGGCGTGTGGACGTTAGTCTTGTCCTTCCTGCTCCTGTTTCTCATTCTCTACGTTGTTGCTGGTTTCGCGACGATCTTCATCGGGAACGATGCAAAACTCCAGGACTTGGGTTTGCAGCCCCAGTTCCGGACGGTGCCCGATTCGATGTTCACGGCCTTCCGGTGCTTCACTGGCGACTGTAATTCGGACTCTGGCGCACCCATCGCATCGTTGCTGGCTGCAACCTACGGGGTCCCCTTCATCTTCGGCTTTGTAAGCAGCTACCTTCTCGTTGCCCTGGGCATTTTTAACGTCCGGGGCCCGGGCCTGGTTTGTTCTTGAGCATGCTTCTGAGTCTTGAGAAAAATCTTTTGCCTGACGGGCCCGACCAGCACTACAACGTCATATATGTCACATATATATATATATATATGCGAAGAGACCCCGAAGCCTAGTGCAATGTCATCATGCAATGCACGGTGAGCCTTGCGTACCGTACCAGTGAGCTATGAGAGACATGTGGGGAGCCTCGTGCTGCCACATGATCTATTCAATGATTACTCCGGCGATCGTTTGGCTCAAGGCCGAAAGCTCAAAGAGCTCAAGGTCAATAGGTGCTGAGGAAACAATGTCGGAACCAGCTCCAGAAATCGAAGACGAGGACGAAACGCCTGAGGTGCTCAGTTCTCGTATACCTGTGCTGATAGATGACACTGATTTCCGCCTGGATCAAGATTTGGCACATGCAAGATCATGCATGCAAGCACCCATCTACGTTCAAGTGGAGGCGGCCTACTCAATTGATCCAAATCCTGATGTTGCTCGCTATATGGCATACACCAGTGTCAACTACATGCACAAGAACTGGAAAGGGAACATGAAGTGGTTGGATCTACCGTTGCAGACACTGCGACAACTATTCGAAGAAGGGCAAAGGTATGACGTTCTCGGAAAATGGGAGCCAGTATTGTCAGAAGTTGACGAGAACACCGGTATTTCGCGAGAAATCCCTGACGAAGATATCCTTGCTTACGCAAGAAGTCGCAACGAAGATGAAGATCCAGATGGCACGTACTTGTTCAGAAGATTCAGGACACATCAATTGGTGTCAAGACTGATGAGGGGAGCAATACAACTTGGATATCAGAGGGAACACTTCGATCCTCGTGTTCATATGCGTGACGACCAGAATGAAGAGGCGCCACAGATGCATTCCAGCTGCTACGCCATGTTGACGAAGATCATTGGCAAGGTCACCGGTTACAGCCAATTCACATTGCCACAACCGATGCATCAGAACACGTACCGGCATGTGTTATGCATTGACCCTTGCGGTATTGTCATGATGCATGGTCCTGGACACTGCGCACGAACAATCCTGTCCTTCATGGTGGACATGGACATTCAGATGCAGGCCAAGTACGTCACCAAGCTTACACGCAGCAGAATGCAAGCCCAGCAATCCAGGAATGCCCCAGCCATCAATCATTTTCCTACAAGCTATCTCCGGGAAGGGGTGGCGCACGTCCTCGGAATCTTCCAGAATCCCGAGACCCTCCTCCTCCGCAGCAACGGCAACATGAACGGTGGCAACGCAATCAGCGAGCTTATGAACGTCGGTCAACGGGATCATCTTCAGGATACCACTACGACAGGGACTACTGTAACTACAATGGCCGATGGGATGAGTGAGCTTCTACGTGCGCATTGCCGACCACATCGATTACCACTTCTCATGTGGGACATGGCTGAATGCACCACATTTCGTGCATATTTCTTCGATGAATGCATTTTTTCCATTTCTCACTGAAGCAGGGGATCGCAGTCGACGTAGCTATGTCTCACGCAGAGTTTAATTGGGCATCTTAACACACAGTGCTAAAAACGATTGCCGTCGAGTACTTTTGTTTTCAGGTCCCGCGACTCTCTTCCTATAGCTGAATAAAGCTCAAAGCTTCACTCATGGGGGGTGCGAAGAGACCTCGAAGCCTAGTGCAATGTCATCATGCAATGTACGGTGCACCTTGCGCTACCGTGCTAGTGAGCTATGAGAGACATGTGGGGAGCCTCGTGCTGCCACATGATCTATTCAATGATTACTCCGGCAATCGTTTGGCTCAAGGCCGAAAGCTCAAAGAGCTCAAGGTCAATAGGATCAGCATACGTACACTTGTGTGCCAGCTGCCAGCCATTGTGTGTTGCCCCCTTGCACAGATACTTCGTCTACCAGTGCGAGAAGAGCCAAAAGTGGACCGAGGGTGCCTGCTACCGGGAACGGAAGTCATTATCCAATCGTGGGCGTCACATCACAACATAAAGCTCGGTGAGGTGAGCAATTATACAGAACACCAAAACCAAACCTTCACGCCATATATATATATATACACACATACAGCAACGTCATATATATATATATAAATGGCAGGTCATCCTCGCTGTGTATGTTGACATCACGATGAAGGCCGCGAAGGAAACGGAGGCGCTCACAGCTGAGCAGCACTTCCGCGAGTCGATCCGAGTCGCTCGCACAACCCGGGAACTGCTGAAGCGCTTCGCTGCGGCACATCGCTGGCTAGAGCAGCACAAGGATGAAGACCACCGTGAGAAGACGATAGACATACTAGAAACGACGAAGAGCTCACGCTTCAGCGACGAGGACGTGCACGAAGACATGGCCATTAACAAAGAGTGCTTCCTCATGGCGATCCAAGATCGGGAGGCCCAGCTCGGGTAAAGTGGCATGTCTTTTCACTTTTATCTTAAGTCCGGGTCTTTAGCTGATCTCGACTCTCCAAGGTGCAGCATCTAATGAACCAGTTGGATCTGCCGCCTGATCGTGCCAATCTGTTCTTTGCCAGAATTCAGTATTGCTCCCGTAGCTGGTCATAGTCTTGTTTCGTGTATTCACTTTCAGCATGCCCCAGCGCCAGTTTCGAAATCATTGATGCGGACGACTCCGGAGCATTGCACATCGCGGAGCTTGTGCATGGATTACTGAAAGTACGCGGCGAAGTGAAGTCGCTTGCAAGAAATAGCCACTGGAACGTGGTACGGACACGCATCCATGTGGAGAGACTTGATGAAGCAGCTCGCTCCCTCCAAGGAAAAGCGACACTGTGGCTGCGCTACTTGCAACCAAATCTGTGCAGGAGATGGTGCACGTTCCTCGGACCTCGCGGCAAGATGTTGTTGCAGTGTTCTTCTTTTGTAAGCAGTGTTCTTCTTTTTGTAAGTGTCCCTTGAAACTCGAGTTGTGTGTAGTGTCCAGATGTGGCTTTTGATGTCTCAGGAGATGCAACAGGAGCAGAAGGCTGATATGGAATACCTGTGTCGCCTCGTTCGGTCGTTGTCAGGGCCTCCGCGCACTGCGCAGGTGTAGCTGCGCCCCCCATTGTTTGAAGAGCCGTGGTGATGCTAGATCTGTACAGGGCAGTTCGCATTCAGGAAGCGCTTCCTGTGATGCCCTGCCCTGCGACATCTCTCAGCCCGCAGAAAAACGGCGTGCCACGGCAGTAACTGCATGATCAGACACGAAGCTCAGACGGTTGAGCCTCATCACTGTTGCCGCTTGAAGCGACCGCTCAATAACATGAAGCTGCCCCCAGTTCTCGCGACATGTCGGGGAGTGAACCCAGCAGTCAAGGGCTGTGCCTTGTGTCGATCAGTTCTCATTCCGAGCCACACGAAAGTGTAAGTCCAAAAAGCCACGCAAACCTGTGTCCCTCCATACAAAGCAAGGTTTCTGGTGCCCGGCTGGTTTGGCTGCTTCTCACCCGCTTTGGCCCCTCGGAAGAAAGCTCTCACGGACGGTGCGTTGTAGCTGTCGGTGTCGCTCCCGAGATTCCGATTTACTTTGTGTTCTTCGACATCATGAACTGCATTGGCCACTGCAACTTTGAGTGCATGCCAACTTGGGCACAGGCAGGCAGCCGTCGTCGCCGTCGCCGTCGTCGTCGTTGTTATGCTGTGCTTGCGAGTGTACGTAGGGCATGTAGGCCATGTGCATCCCTTAGTCGGCTTGCCTGCGCAGACCGGGCCGCTGAAATATTTTGTCTACACGTCCTCGTACCACTCCCTGCATCACAGCCGGGAACTCAAGGCATGTGTGACGTGTCTCGGACCTGCGAAGACGAGCTTCTGAAGTGATTGTGAAGCTCAGGCAAGTACAAGTACAACTACTGCCTCTTCTGTCCGATTTGGGATTACCTCGGTGGCCTCCGCCTCGGTTTCAGCTTTGGTTTCTGGGGACCTAGCGCCTTTGGATCGGAGGCACCGTTCATTCGACGACCGAGTCCCTGCACCAGGAGGCCAGGGTCATGGGGCTCTTGAGCCATGTTGGGCTGTTTGGCATTGGGAGGTCTTGCACCAAAAGAGCCGACAGCTCGACGTTGTGTTCCTGGCGCATGGACATGGCCTTCACTCCATGCCGGAGGGCCCAGCCGTGGTCCGGGCAATGACCGCAGCAGTCCGAATCTGAAATTCTGGTCTCGGATCTGCTTTGCTCGATCCAGGTTGCATCTGCCATGGTCCCGTCCCAAGACAGGGAAGGACACAAGTCTCGTGCAGAAAGACGCGACTGCCACTGGCTCCCGGCTAGGCTGTCTCCCTTCTTGGCTTCCCATCAGCACGAGCAGCGATGGTGGATGCTTCCCCTGCAGCCACTGACCTTCCTCTGGGCAAAAGCCTCGGCTTTGCAGAGCAAAGGCTTTCGTTTGTGTGTTCCCCCCACCTTCAGGTGCTTTTCTGCCGGCACTGCCTGTCAACCGCCTGTGTACAGCGCACTGAGCTTAGCCAACGAAGCCATGCACAGACTTTTCAAGCCTTTGACAGACTATCTCAGCGCTTGGGACTGTCCTACTATATCTCTTTACTGGCTTCCTGAGATTCCTGCCGCTATGCTCTGCTCTCCATTCCCTTTCCGCAAACTCACGCTTTGTTTCCACCCTTCCCCACCCGTACTCTCACAACTCCGGTCCTACTCCCGCGCTTTCATGTTGCTGATCAGTGTGCAGCTTTTGCAAGGCTATCACTACCGTAGCACTCAGTGTGCTACCTGGCGGCTGGGCGGCATGACTGGGCTGAAGCGTGTTGGTCCCTGCCCACGGAAACAGAAGCAACATGGAAGGTGCCTGCCTGTGACGGGCCACTTCTACTTCATGAAGTCGCACAGGCAAAGTCGCTGCTTCAAAGGGGGGAAGAGGCGTTAGCACCGGCTCGAGCCAGGAAGCCGATCTTTGACATGCTGGTGCAGGCATGCGAGTAGTTTAAGAAGCTGTCCGACAGCTGAGGGTTCGAGGCAGCAAAGAGGGCAGTTGCGGCAAGCATCGTGCGCTATCCGAAGGCCGTCAAGGACGCAGATGATGCCGGCGTGAAGTACCTGGGGTTGGCACACCTGAACAAGGCTCCTTCCCTACCGGTGCTGTCTCGAAGTACTTGGAGGATCATGGGACTTAGTAAGTAAGGTTATAAGTCCCCTAATTGGGGTTATAAGTATAGTTACCTTAGTTATAACCCTACTTACTAAGTCCCATGATCCTTCAAGTAGTCTGTACCGTGCGCTCAGTCTTCAGGCCGAGTTTCTGAATGCGGGAGGTCTTGGCCTGAGGATCCTGGCCCCGGTGTGCAGTTTCCATGCTGGAAAGCGTTACATGCTGCTCTCCTCTACTTGTTGGCTACGCAACCCCTTTGGCTTGGGGTTCTGTCACCGGGGCCCAGAGGTTGTCAGTGCATCTCCTGACAAGGCAAAGACCTTTTGCCACTCCTGGGCGACCGGAAGATTCGCATTGTGCATGGGAACACGCTCACGGCCGCCGCAGTTTGGCAGGTACGGTCTGGGGTGACTTGCACGGGAATCCGAGCTTTAGCCCAGCCGCATCTCGGCAGGCACTCCAGGAGCACACGCAGCCCAAGGAGAGCACACAAGCGATTTCGAAGCTAAGAGGGTCCCACGAGCGGATCAGTGTCTCGAGATTCAAGCGCCCCCCGAGTTTTTGTTAAAGACTTGTTGTGCCAACTGTAGGCTCCGACAGCCTCCCCGCTCCCGGGCCGGCGAGGATGAGATCGTCTTTGCGGGCTCCACCTCGAAGATTGGAAGAGCCTTGTGCATACTCCTGGCACGACGTGGCCACACCGTGCCTGCCTCGTTGCGCTCGGTAGCGCAAGGGATGCCCCTGCGATGCCTCCATGCCTGATTCAGACAGGTCAGGATGATCACCGGCTGTGAGGAGCGCTTCCAGAAGATCAAGGGAGAGGCGGTTGTGCATGAAGATTCGGGAGCAGAGTGGTATGCAGACTCGCGATACCAACACGTAAGTGCCGTTGCATCCGACGGAAGCACATGGTCAGCTATGCCTGCGGATGAAGCTCTGCAGGCAGGGGAGTTCGGAAAGAACCTTGTACGGGCCGGGGCCATGTTTGTGCCGACATTTATCTTGTGTCGCTCCACTCCGTCTCACCCCTGGTTCTCTTTTCTTCTCTTTCCTCTCTTCTCTCTCGTTCTCCCTTTCTCTCTCTCTTTCTTTCTTTCTTTCTTTCTTTCTTTCTTTCTGTCTTTCTTTCTTTCTTTCTTTCTTTCTTTCTTTCTTTCTTTCTTTCTTTCTCTCTCTCTCTCTCTCTCCTTCTCCCCCTCCCTTGTCTGGCAGGCTCTCTTTGTGTGATTGACCGTGAGCTGGAACGACGCCCAGGGTTACGGACCAAATGAGCTCAGGTCCAGACGTACGAAGAAGGCGTGGGCTGCGGCGTGTGGATCTTGGGCAAATGGATGGAGCCAAAGCGGATCCAGGCCACCATTGAATAGTGCCATGACACAAGGGGAGTTGGCTACTGTACCTTGCTGAGAGGCATTGATTCCTCCCTCTTCACTGATCATCGACTTCGCTGTTCCACACGTCAGCGAGGACCTCTTTGTCGTGGCGTGGGGCTATTTGCTGGTAAGATGCCCAAAAGTCTGAGTGGCTGGAATTTGCAGCTTTGAAGGAGGTGGCAAAGGACTACAGGTACGTCAATGGTGCAGCGTTGAGCTACAGCCGTGGCCTCCGCTCGCGTCTGTCACAGCCTTCGGAAATCACGGGACCCCAAGCAACCAAAGGACTGATACTTTTCCCAAGTGCAAAGAGCCACCTTGGAGACAACTCACCTGACTGCTGGTCTTGTGAAGGTTTGAAAGAGACGGACCTGACCTTTTGTCACGACGTGCCGAACACGGTTCCGGCATGCATGGCGGCAAAGGCCTCAGGTATTTTAGAGATGCGGGTAATAGGGGGGCGGACCTACCGGACCGAGGGTAGATGCACCCATTGAGATCGACAGCCGAGGCGGCCGTCATCCATGCCCGGGAGGACACCCAGAGACATGAACTCGGCGAGGCCGGACGTAAAAGATCAGGTCTTTGGTGCTTGTTTGAGCATCTCAGTATCTTAAGCCCTAAACCCCAAAACCCTAAGCTTCCACCTGCACCAGGTGGAGGTAGAGGAGGTCGAAGGATGGTGGGACAAGGCCGGCCGTGCTCTGGGCCTGGAACTTCACCCTTCGACGGGCTGTGGGTTTAGGGTTTAGGGTTTAGGGTTTAGGGACGGGACTCGAAGTTCCAAAATGGGTTTCCGAAAGTAGGGGGCCCTAATATAGCACCCTAAATAGTAGGATCCCTATTATAAGGACCCCAAAATAAGGTACCCCCCTATTTTCGGAAACTCCCAAATCGACTCAGACAGGTTCCTGTCACCCTAAACCCTAAACCCTAAACCCTAAACCCTAAACCCTGAACCCTAAACCCTAAACCCTAAACCCTAAACCCTAAACCCTCAAAGTGACCCCTGGCAGGCTTCCCGCCATGGCTTTCGCCTGGCCTACCGGGAGCCGAAGGGAAAGCGGGCCCGGGGCCCAAGTGCAGCGCCCTAGCGCCCTTGAGAGTTTAGGGTTTAGGGTTTAGGGTCACTCGGTTCTCTAAATTAGGGTCCATTTTAGGGTCCTTTTTATAAGGGTGCCGTACTATATTGGGGACCTAAAAAGGGACCCTAATTTAGAAAACTACCCAAGTGCAGCGCGCCCGAGTGAGAGTTTCAATCCAGAGGTTGCCATGTCCAGCGGAAGGTGAGGTTGGGGATTCTCGCTTTTCGGAACTCTACGGCTTTTGATCCCGTAGCTGCTGTCTCGTCTATCGTCGCAACTATTGTTCCATAAGCGAGGCTGCGTGTCCCGAGCTCAACATGTCGCAACCAAGGCCAAGACCGAGTAGACGTGCGGATGGCATGGCACAGCACAGCTGCGAACTGCAATTCTGCTGTGTCTCGAGCAGCTGCCTGTACGAAAAGTCGCACGGTTTAGGGTTTAGGCTTTAGGGTTTAGGGTTTAGGGTTTAGGGAGATCATTTGCGATCCAGAAGAATTGTGGCATCCATGCCTGCCTTATTTGCTGCCTGTGAAGACAAGCCCGCGACTCTTTCGAAACCACAGGCAACCAGATTGTTTCAAGTTTTCTGGGCACTTTTAGCAGCCCATCGATGACAGCAATGCTTGAATTGTTTTCTGGGTGCCACCTTCCACAATCAGTCAACGAACTTCCTTCTGAGCCCGTGGCTCATTGACTTTGCATGATGAGTGTTGCTTGGCCCCCGGGATTAGCACTAGCGTGTCTGGAAGGGCCGAAGTGAAGCCGCTCTGTCTTATGCAACGGCAGCCACAAGGTTTGTGCAGGCAAAGAGTCCAATTCTGCGTCAGCGTTGGCCGTCCTTGACGGTCTTTGACTTTGACCGGCCCTTTACGGCGAGCTACACCAAACATTTTTCGATTGAACAGCATTCTCGAGGTTTTCGAAGAGAGACCTCCACCTCATAATATCGGGGCGATGATCTGGCATTTCTACAACCGCGAACCAATGAAGCTATACTCAAGTCATTGCCCCGATAGATTCCTTGTAACAGCGCCTGAAAGCGCCCGTACGGGCGGCAGGCACAGAAAACGCGCAAGCTAGCATCCAGATGCATCAGCAAAAGCCTTCAGCCCTCTTGTGCTGCCGACGAGTTTGCACAGAGAGAGTAGGGCCGCGGTGAAACTCTGACGCTGCCGCGCAGTTTAGCTACCTCCGCGCCCGTCGGTCCCGCAGCGAAGCCACGGAGTTGCTGAAGGCGCGGGGTGTCGGGGGGTGCTTTGAGAATCTGAGCATGTTCGCAGCCTGCAGTTTCAGGGCAGTCCTTCTCGTGTTTGGTTTCTTCTTCGATGCACGGTGTTGTGCAGACCAAGTCACTCTCGCGCTGATGCACTTTCGCGGCTCAGAGCAGTTGCCTGCTAAAGTCATACAGACAATCCATGTTGTACCGCGTTGCACCGCCAGTCGATCGGGCTATGGATGGCAGACAGCAGCTAGTTTCGCTGCACGTTGGTATGTCCATAAACTTCCAGAGACGGAAGCTGGGAGTCAATCGCAGTTCATGCGACTCCGCAAGCCATTGCGCTGCGCTGGCTCCACAGCCAATGAAGCTCCTGATGTTCCCAGACTCTCTGCAAAAGTTTATTCGGAGGTTGGCAGGGCAGGACAGGCTTACGTGAAGTAAGCCACTCTGTTACAAGTTGGCCTTTTTTCGTGTCGTTGTTCGATCAGGACCCCCTTCGCCCAATTAGGATGTACACCGAGGGTGCAAGGTCTCCGGAGTGCCCTCATACGGGGTAAGACGAAGCAGAGCGAGCTTGCTTCAAGAAGCAGAGAGAGTTTGAAACAGCTCAGTGTTTAAAATAAGTCTCACGAGTTGCGAAAGTTCATGATGCTGCAGCTCTCCTGACTCAGAAAGACAAACAAAGAGTTGGATGTGTCGAGCGGCAGAGAGCAAGTGCTGCAGAGATGAACACCGAAAGCTAGCTAGATGAATCAAGAAGGAAGGAGACATAGCAAAGCAGACGTGCCGGTAGATGAGTGGTCGGACATGTGGGAGTTTCCGAAAATTAGGGATACCTTATTTTGCGGTCCTTATAATAAGGATCCTATTTTTAGGGTACTATATTAGGGTCCCCTTTTCTCGGAAACCCCCATGTAGATGTGTTCGTAGATGTTTCCCGGACATTGGTCTGGGTGCGCAAACCGTGTGTTTAGGTCTTGATCGCGCTGACATCCGATGCTTGGCCAGAATTGAATTGGGTTATTTTATCAACATGGCTCTATTGATTCAAGCTTTGTGACAAAATCTGCCTCGACGAGAGTCTTCATTGGATACATGTTGCATCGCAGATCTTACCGGACACGCGCTTCGTCGTGCAGCCACTCAGGCGCTGGGCGAGCACGTAGCAGGAGTCGATGCGAAGAATGCGGCCTTGCATGACGAGGACTGCGCACGCTGTGAGACTTCCCTAAACCCCAAACCCCTAAAACCCTAAACCCTAAATTGCACGGAAGCGGCGATGCCACGAGCCAGGAGCGGCTTTTGCACACACTCTCCTTCGAGGAGGCCTGAGGTAGGCAATCCATGAGGTTTTAGGGTTTAGGGTTTAGGGGATAGAGCCACCTGTGCAACTCGTAGCTCCAAGCCTCAAGCAGCCTCACAGTACTTCAAAGAAGTTCTTGCCCTAGCTCGGCAGGCTTTCGTCTCCGTGGCGGCGCGTGCTCGCGCAGTGAGGCCCAGAAACCCGGAGCCTTGGCGAGCCTTCATCTTCGTTTGCGTGACATGACATTTGGGGGATGGTCGTTCGAGATCTGGGTAGTTGTCAAAAATATGGTCTTTTTGTGGGTACCCTCAATAATAGGTGCCGTATTGTAATAAGGACCCAAAAAGGGACCCTAATTTTGACAACCACCCATTTGGGGGATGGTCGTTCGAGATCTGGCTATGTGAGCAGGGGTGCTGAACATCTGAGCAATCTGGTCGGCTCAGGGTCCATGAACATGGGAGTTTCAGAAAATTAGGGTACCTGGTTTTGGGGTTTTTATAATTGGATCCTACTATTTAGGGTGCTATATATTAGGGTCCCCTATTTTCGGAAACTCCCACATGGCCAAGCATCAGCAAGGAAGGGTGAACAGCTCCGAGAAGTCCGAACCAAGGACGAGATGCGAAGACTCCAGGCGTCGTGCAAGGAGAACGTTGCGCGCGTGGATTTGGAAACTCGGATTGAACTTGAAAGCTAGACAGTTAGCCTTCACCTGACCGCCAGCCTTCGCGGTGTGGAAAAACTATCTTTCTGGCTCTACTGTAGCGTCTCTGTTGCAATTCGCAGTCTGTGCATTCCAAGGATCACGATGAGAGGCTGTCGTCCCCAGGATGCACAGAGCGAGGAAAGACTGCCATGATGACGATGATGATGATGGTGATGACCATGATGCTTCAAAAGACAGGAAGATGACGAAGGTCATCGTGTTCGTGTACATTATATATGTGGATCCTGATTATATGTTTGACCACTTTTCGCAGCAGCAGCGTCTTGATGTCTCAGGATTCTCTTAAAAAGGGTGAGAAAATCTGTAGTGAACCAGATCTTGATTCGATTCTCTGAGTTGTTCTGGCCGGGACGGATCTCTCGTTGCCCATGCTCCTCCTCCTCCTCCTCCGACTCCTCCCGGTCGGTCAAAGAGCTAGACGGAACTGAGGCTGGAAGAGTTCCAACAGCTACTCATGATAATGTCAAACCGACATGGCTTCTGAGATGCCTCTTTAGTACCAGTGTTTCAAAGAATCTCCCCGGCCAGAGGAGGGGTGGATTCTCGCCGCAATGCTTCTGATTGCTGCAAGTCGCAAAAAGCCTCGCCCGTCGTTGCCGACTGCGATTCGGACACATCTCACAGCTGAAAGACCAAGAAGGTGGCATGCTTCCGTGAATCTCTGGAATCCTGCCTGAACTGATAGGTTCCATCACCGCAGTTGGCCCCAACACGGGCGCAGTGCACTCAGTGTATGCTTGGATCAGCCTGCGCGCCCGTGGCTAGCTCTTGCTGTATGCAGGCCCACCATGAATGGCACGAATTCGCCTCGGGTGGAAGCCTTATGCAATTGAGGGGCACACTGCCATACTGCCCGAATGCAACTGATCAGACGCAGCAGTGGACGCTGGATCCATGAATCCAGAGTATGAAAGCTTGTGGACTGTCTTTTTCATGCCATCTGCTGGCAGGGAAATTCCAAAGAGGCATCCTTCGTGCCCGACACCCCGTCAGGGTCCTAGTAAGACAGCATCAGATTGAAGGCGACTTTGGGGACTGGTCAGCACAATCATCAAGTGGTTATTTGTCAAAATGATGGTCCCTTTTGGGGTACCCTAAATAATAGGTGCCGTATTATAATAAGGACCCAAAAAGGGACCATAATTTTGACATCCACCCAAGTCAATGTTATCCGGATCTGTTGGGTTTGAATGTCGTGTCACGCGGACTGGGCATGCATGAGTGGGAGAGTTCCTCGTAGTGCAGATAGCTGTTAGCTTCGCTCTTCAGGTCACCTGTGATGCGACCAGCTCCCATGGAAGGAGCTGAAGCTTGGCCCCTGAGTGCTGAGATACCCGCAGGGGCAAGCTGCGTGACAAACGAGTGGCTAGACTCACGTGTTGCCCGGAGTCGATTGAGGTCCCTCCGCTCAATGAGGGATATGGGTGCTGATCTCAGCTGCCTGCATCTTGAACGACGATCGATGTCTAGCATCCTCAGTACCCGGTCTGGTCGTGAGGATGAATGCAGAGGAGGAAATGTGCCTCCCACCTGCATACATGGGCGATGAAGCCATGATGATGGCAGGCAAGCATGAACTACATGGTTCCTGATTTAACGCACGGCCTCCGACCCACTGTCTTGCGAAGGCATGGGCTACGACGGCCAGGATATGGCGTACTATGGTGTCCCGGTCCAAACCTCGAAATACCGGTCATCGATGCAGCCATGCACTGGCATGTGCTCGCTAAGACCATCATGTACGACCCAATCTCTGGTTGCGGTTGGCTGTGGCCCTGGCAAGACCTGCTTGAATTCGCGACTCTCGAATCCCTGCTTATCACCGTTTAGTTTCCGAGGCCTATGTGCATGCCTATGGACATGTCACAGGCCCGCCCTGCGATACTCGTGACCCTGCCCCCTAAACAGCAATGCTTGTTGGCGATATTGGATGGCCTGCTTCAAACCGGAAGAAGAACCACACCGCTGTTTTATTCTAAATTGTTACTCATTACGTTTTATTGTTGTTGTTGTTGTTGTTGTTGTTGTTGTTGTTGTTGTCGTTGTTGTTGTTGTTGTTGTTGTTGTTGTTGTTGTTGTGGTTGTGGTTGTGGTAGTGGTAGTTATATTTCTTGCACGTGTACGCACGTGCCAGTTCATGTATTGTAGTTGATGGTCTTTCTGTTTACATCGACGCCTTCACAGCAAGCAATAGGTTAAGCTCGATCTCATTGATTTTGAGTGATGGCGCCCATTCTCGTAGACTCTGCCTGAGATGCCGTTGGTCCGTTGTGGCGCATGCAGAGCGTCAGCTAATACGGAAGTTTTGGCCTGCTTCCTAATCATCAACTGAGTATGATGTGCCGGAATGTTTTCCTGGAAGGCCTGTAAGGTGCTTGCTGTCGCTCGGACATGCAAGCTAAGCAGACTACGGAACACCTTGCTCAGTCTGATCGTATCAGAGAATTTCGCGTGCATCAGGGCCACATGGGCGAAGACATGGGGCAGCTGACTCAGTCCTCTCACATACAGCCACGGATGTTCCGTTCTTGGGGAGCGCAATGAGTTTGCCGAAACGGTAGTGATGAGCAATCGTACATGCTCTCGCTTTGTTTGCCGAGGTGTGAGATGGTCACAATGGACGGACAGGGCGCGCCCAGATGTGTTGTGCAATAGGTCTATTCAGTTTTGAATTGACTGCAGAGATGAGTTTAGGATCGTCCAAGTCTCCCCAGCACTACCACAGCTTTTGCTCTCGGTCAGTCCTCATGGATGCTGGTGATGGAACGGCGCCACTCTCTCAGCACACTTTGGGACCTAGTGTGAGCCGGTTTCCCGACAAGCGACTGCAAGCGAATCCTTCGCCTGACTAGGGAAAGTAGATCACAGTACCTTCGTCTAGATCCTGTGTGACTACATAGTAGATCACAGTACCTTGGCCTGCATCCTGTGTGACTACATGTTCTGAGATGAATGCTTCAGGCCCGGAGAAGTAGACGCTATGTGGGTGCAGGACGACGGATGCGCGCAAGGGGGATAGTCAAGCTGAGACATGTTCAGACCAAGTGCAGGGTTAGATTCTGGTGGCAGCATTCCACAGGACCCTAGTGCCATGGAGACCATGTGCTGCAGCATGGAGGCAGCGCCGTCATCTCAATCTTTTCTGGACACAGCGATCTCGCCTTGCTGGTACGAGCACGCTGGTGCACAGCGACGACAGGGCGATGGCACGATGATGCCGGAGGAGGCCATGAATTGGGCCATGCCTGAGTAGCTCGGCAAAAAGGGGTTGGCGGATACAGGAGCTATTAGGGTTTAGGGTTTAGGGTTTAGGGTTTAGGGTTATGGTTTCCGGATGTAGGTGTATGTAGTCTGCAAAAGCAGGAGATTCTGCTCCCATCTCGAGAGAATGTAGTGGCCCTTATTGGAGGCACCGAGTTCTTCTAGTTTTGTAGCTACATGGGCGGGCTCGTGCCACAGTGCCCATCAAAAAGCCAGTGGGTAACCACAATGAGCCGTCCCAGATGTAGTGGAGGAAGGTTATTCTGCTTACAGCATCAGAAGCCCTACCTACACCACGAGGGTTCACGCCTGGGGTGGTCCATGCAGTCTTTTGATGGAAAGTTGTGGTGAGCATACGCCCTAAACCCTAAACCCTAAACCCTAAACCCTAAACCCTACTGTATGCCGGACATCCAAAAAGGCCCTTATAAAACAACCCTAAACCCTAAACCATACGTGAGGATCTTGTCGTGTTGTCACAGTGACGCAGAAGACCTCGATGGTCCGACCCACCCCGACCTTACGCCTGCGTCACGTAGGTTCCAAAAAGGGCAGGACTGCTCTAAACCCCAAACCCCAAACCCTATTTACCCTAAACCCTAAGCCCCAAACCCTATAAACCCTAAACCCTAAACCCTATAAGCCCTATAAGCCCTAAACCCTCAACCCTAAGCCGTCACACGCACTGCCGCCAAGGACACAGGAAGACGGACAGCAAGACTGGGCCACGGAGGCCGAACCAGGGACAGAAAAGAGCCACCCAAAAGAGCCCCAAAAGAGCCCCGGAATGGGGGTTAGGGTTTAGGGTTTAGGGTTTCGGGTGGTTGTTCCTGTTTGAGTTCTGAGAGACCTGCTTTGTTAGATTTGCTTTGGCAGGCCATGACTGCTGAGCCGAAGGACCGATGTTTTTTTTTGTCTTTTGTGTGCTGCGCCCAACGTACTGAGCTTACTGAACTTCCAACCTTAGTCTATGTCCTTGCATGGATCGGTTTACGAGCTGATTTTGTCATCATGCTGGCAGGAGAGCACAGAGAGCAAGGAATGGGCGGACAAGGCAGCAGCAGTGCTCTCGGAAAGGCAGCCGTCTCGGTGATGAAGTCTCTTCGCCCAAAACCGAGGAGGGCGCTTCGTCCTGGGAGGAGAGTCGAAACTCTAGGCGGGCTGGCAAGGGCGGCAGGTAGTCGCAAGCGCTGCGCCGCGTATTGCAAACCCCAAGCCCAAGCCAACTCTGCGAGAGCAAGGTCGCCTTCTGCACGCCGAGAGAAAGCAGTTGCCCAGAGAGCCCAATACCCCTTAATTAAGGAATGTACTTTAAATCATAATATTAAGGCCCCTATAATTTAAGGTGTATTCCTTAATTGAGGTGTATTGGGCTCTCTGGGCAGTTGTGTGCAGAGCTGCAAGTGGAAGCCAAGCGGCCAGGTACAGCCGCAAGAGCTGGCGAGACTCAGATGGCCGCCTGCCTGGACTCGCAGGTTTGCCTTGGGAGCGCTTCCTGGTTGTCTAACGTGAGGCTGGGAGGACCATCGTCATAAGGACGATAGCGGAAGCCTGAGATTCCGAGTGCTTCTTGAGCTGCGCTGCGCTGGGCTTGCGATGGCTGCGGAGGTGCCAGCTCCTGGGACAACTGGGACTATGGCTGGAGGAGAGTCCCACGTATTGACATCTCAGTACATGTTGCATTTAGACACAGGTCAATGGCAACCTTCGTCGCACATTGCGCACGGCTCTTGTGACAGGAAAGGAGCACGTGGCTCCCGACGTTCGCAGCGACAGGTGAGCGTGGCGCTGTGTGGTAACGTGGTGCTTGCGTCTCGTTGCACAGGCAGACTCCTGGAACGACGATTGGTCGCTGGGGCCTCAATGTTCGCAGAATGCTTGGCTTCGTGAGGCTTCCATGAATGGAGCCTAGCTCTGGGCTGACATGACAAATGGGGCAGTTTCCTCACTCATTGCTCGGCTGCGTAACTGTTGGCATGTTTGTGGGCAGAAGAGACCTGTGCATGTGTTGCTGCTGCTCTGTCTGTGCCCGTGCCTGCCTGCCAGCTTGAACGCGTGCTCACGCTGGGCCAAAGTGTCTACATGTGCATCTATGTCGTCCAGTACTGTAGTCGGAGTCTGCATCCCGATGTATCAACAATACTTATAGTGTCACTTCGCTAATTTCTGCGTGGCTCTGTTTTCTCCCACTGGTACTGTATGTATCTCTGCTTAACCTCATGCCCGCTCACGTACCATCTTGTATTCAGACAAAGATTTGCCGCAGGTAGTAACTTGGTAAGTGACCCAGCAAGCAGCTACCAACCGAATAGCCAACCACTATGCAAAGGAGTAAGACAGTAAACACATAGATAACACGTTACATAAAGGGATGAATGAATAAAAGCGCGAACAAAGAGACAGACACACATACAAACAACAATAGGCAAAGAAAGAATGGAATAATATGTCAATGTAAATACGTTAGTAAATAAACAACGAAATACATCAGTAAGTACGTAGAGACATAGATATACTTAGAATAAGTATATGTAAATATCTACACACACACACACACGCCTATGTGTCGATGTAAGCTATAGTTCTTGCATACCCCTGTGTGCTCTCTTTGTATACTCCAGGGCGCTGTAGTTGGACGATCCGCAAGTGCACATGCCCCTATATGCAGCAATGCTGCAGACGCATGCGCATACAAGCAACTCAGCTCATATGTGTTTACATATATACAGAATAGGACAATCATTTGCATTGAATGTCTGTGCATTCCTTGGTACTTGTCTCTCCGAATCTCTCTCCCTCTCTGGAGATTTCCGTGGGCACCTCAATGCCAGTGCACTAGAGGTTCCGTAATTAGCACAAGAAAAGGCAGGATCAGTGTTCCCAGAGACTCCAATATC